GAAGAGCGGGCAGAGATCATTAAAACAAGAGAGAGCCATCCAATCTGTTTTTAAGCTTTGTGCATGCACCTTAATTTGCTTGTGAGATGTATGTAGAACAGTTAGAACCTTAAGGAGGGCAGTAGAATTTAATGTTAAAGATAAGCCTGGGGACTGAGGTTCCTCTTTATTTTTGTTTTTATTTGTCACCTTTTAAAACCAGTGACAGGCTGTGAGTGCTGGACCTCTTACTGAGAGTCACGTAAAATTCTGACGCCGCAGGCAGCTCTTTATGAAGCTTCTTAAAAAATATAGTTTTTAAATTTTTTTAAAATTTTTTTAGCATTTACTTCAGGTCTTACTTTGTAATACCTTTGCTAAGATGACATTGATGCTTTTACAGTTGTTTTCAGTGTTAGCTCTGCCCGAGGTAGCCCTGCTGTTGTAGAATGAGGAACAGTGTCTGAATTTAGCCTTTTTGTGTCATCTTTTCTTCAAACCCCTGCACTACTTCGCAGCTGATACTGATGTCCTTCCCCCCCACACACACCTTTTCCCTTTCAGTACCAGGGAGTGACCACCCAGAAGCAATGCCTGGCAGGGAGAGTTGTAGCTGCCTATTTACAGCCCTTCTTCCCAGCGGAGGCATCTAGGGCAGCAAAAAGTAAATTTCCTGCTCACTTTTCTTGCTTGTGAAGGATTGTCAAATGTAAGGAGGAGAGTGCAGAAAGGCTGGGAACTGCAAATTTATCTTGCTTATTTTTATTTCAATAACAAATACACCTGGACTTCTCTGCTGCAGCAGTAGTCTGAGAACAGCCAAGATACCTCAGTCAGAGATACTGGTGCTAAAACCATGCACAAAACAAACCATTTCCTGCTTCCTTCCAGACTGAACAGTGCATCCTAGCCATTTTGTTCTCCTCTTCCTTCTAAAGAGTTTGTTTCCTCCTTTTAGTTGAACACCAAATTTGTAAAAGTTATTTTCTGGTCTGTGTCCTTTTCAGGAAGGAGGTTAAACAGGAGTTCATCTTTACTTTAGATAGCACTGTTAATAACCACAAGGAGGCTGCAAATCTGAAGGAGGAGAGAGGTGGATATATATGGGTTTGCTCTGTTTGCTGTATTTGTAATTGTATTTGTATTGTATTTATTGTATTGTATTTGTAATTTTTTATTTTGCTTGTAGGTATTTTTCACCAGTAATTTTATACAAATGCTGCAAGTAACTAAGGGTTTGTAACTCCTGAGATTCACAGAGTCCTACTTTATATTGGACCGTATTTATATATCAAGGCAATAGAAGACACTTTTCTAACTAAATAATCATCTCCACTTGAATATAAGTGCTTTCCTGTAATTAGTTATCTTAGAAAGTTGCCATTTTTTTCCCTGGAGGCAGGAAGCTTTGCTTCTGTCTTACAGAAGGAACCTGAGCCACCAGGCTGAATGTGTTACATGCAGAGCCTGTTGCTGCTGAAGTAGGAATTTTCCTCAGATACGATTCCAGCTTTACAATGAGAATATTACAGAGTAGCTACTGCTGGTGACACTTTAGAGGTTTTTTTTATGTACAGGAGCCCCACTTGATTACATGCACTGTTCATTTTGCTATTTGCTCCAAATCAGAGTAGACCTCCTGGAGAAGCTAATAGTGGGAATTTGAGCCCTGCTGGGAGCTACCTGCATCCCGCCGTGTGGTCACTGCAGAGGAGTTACTGACTCAGTAGCAGGAATTCACCACAACTGGAGCACTTTGGTGGTTGCTGGTGCTATTCACCGTGTGACATTTTAGGCCCTTTGCTGGCATCTCACTTCTCCTGCATGTGCATTTGCTCAAGGATTTACTGAAGAGTTTAGATTCTTCCTGCAATCTTCTTGGTTTCTGCTGTTAATGATTCACAAGGCATGGTATTCAATCATGACATATTTTAGGTACTGCCTTACTTCACTGCCTTCCTGTCTCTCCTTCCCAGTCCCATTGAATGCATGTGAAAACCATGTGAATTGTAAAATATGAGTTCCTCAAAGATTACTGGGATATCTGGGGAAACAGGGGAATAATCTCAGTCAAACTTATTCATTATTTTGTCTGTGAATCTGGTCATTTTTGTACTAACTGTAATTACTTTTGCTTATGGTCAGACTGGAACCCTCTGGCTATAAAAGTTTACTATAAAATATATTGCTTCATTTGGAGTGGCAGTAGAAATTAACCTACACAGAAGATGAACAGTGAATACATGTTACGTTTCCAGATATCCTCAAAATTTCTGAGAGTCTTCCTTAATGGAAGTACATCAAGATCAATCTTTGTCTGGAATAGATTTGAATGGTTGATACTGGGATTAAAAGAAGGAAAATAGCTTGATTTCTCTGAGCAAATTAGAGGGGTAATTGAGCCAGAGCTTGGAATGGATGGTAATGGTTAGCACTGTGAGATGTATTTCAACCTGTAACTGATCTGGCTATTTAGATTTTTTTTTCCCTGCATATTTTTGAGGTGTAATGTGTCCATCAGGGGGGTGTGCTGTTTGCTGGACAGTCAAGAAACAGGCTGACCGGACTCTAGATTATGGAAATACCTTATTACCCACTTGGTAAATATGTCAGATTTAGACTTTGTAAACATAAATCTGCTTTTTTTGAGCTACACTCAGAATTTGAGGTTTAAGAGCTGCAATTCTGAAGATGGATGTGAGATCTGAAATTTCTGTAGCAGCTGCCATGAGCTTTCATAGCCTCATTTCTCCTTCTGCCTGAGCTGTTTCGTTCTTCACAAGTATATGGAGCCATATTCTGATAATTTGCCCAGAAAATCTCTCCAGTCCAGAAATCGGCTCCAAGAGATGATGATGATTTTGATAAAATCTCTGTAACCTTTTCTATACACTTAAGAAGAGGTCTCCTTATCAGAGCAGAATGTTTTTGGGTTTTTTTTAAGTTACTTTGCAATGGAATTTTAAAAGCAAAAATGAAATGTTTTGATTTCTTTAGTATAAAATGTTTCAGTTAACACAAAAAAAGGCCTTTGTGTGTGTATGGGGGGAATCACATACTCATTTTTGGAATGCAACCAAACTTTAAACTTTCAGAATTCACTGTGAATCATCCATTCCCACACCATTCCACATGTATACCAAAATATATTTCCAGAACTGCACCAGATAATAGTGATAGATTTAACAAAATGGGAGACAATTTAATACAAGGAAGATTGTATTTGTGAACTGTATATGCCTGTATATGGGAACAGAATTAGGTTTATGGCAGAAAGATGCTACACTTATTCAACCCAGGCTTTCACAATAGGTATTCTATCTAGATGTCAGCCTCAGTTTTTCAGTGAAGAAGTTTGAACAGTAGCTAAAAGGTTTATATTATCATGAAGTACAGATAATAAAAAGGAGAGGAACAGGGCTGTCATGGTAGTTCTGGAATATCTCTTTTAAGTAGTTATTTTACATGTAGGGTAGTGTAACCTTTGAAGTTGAAGTGTTCACAGCATTGACATGTAACTTTGCAACACACACCCATTTTAAAGTTTTTTTTTCCAACTTTTACAAAGAGAAGCTTGGTTTAAAAATACACCATTTCTTGCTTAGATTTAAACATTCAAACAGAATCTCCCTATGAAGTTGGAGTGGGGGAAAAAGCTGTACAATTTAGAGATCCAGGTGGAGCTTTCTAATTGACTGCTGGAGGTGGGATGCCATTCTCCTAACACCAGGCCTTTTAGCCTTCTCAGAGCTAAATTCCTACTAGCTTTCCAGTTGCTTCCTGCCAGTCCTGTGGAGAGGGATGTATTTAAAAACAGACATGCATCTGCCTTAGGTGAGGCTGGAAATCCCTCGGGAGGTGTTTGCCTGATGCCTAAATGTCTTGAGACAGTAAAGCTGCACAAGACTGTTCCCACACTGTGAGCTTTCTGCTTTCTGAATGCTCTTCTTGCATTCCATTTCCTGACATTTAGAAAATATTCTGAATACCACGTATCTCAGAGAGTGGAAATCATTCTGCTTTCTGCCTTACTGCTTAGGTGTGTTATGATGGCTCAGAAAAGCACTTGCATAATGCCTTACTGCTGAAGGATGGTTTGGGGTAGTTCCAAATAATTTGTTCTTTTATTCTGGCTTTTTTAGGAAATAGGAAATAATCCTCCTGTGACTTGGAAAGTCCTTCAGAAAAATTGGCTTAGTTGACTTTAAACATAAGGTGAAAAGAATGCCAAGTGTATACAAGTGAAGTTATACTTTGTAAACCTGTAGCAAATAACTTCAATGCTGCTGGGCACACTTTTCTAAAGTAACTTAAAAGTGACATTCTCAAGAGTGATTTGAGTCCTTTGGCACAACTCTTCACATGTCATGTTGTACATTCCTGAGTCACTTCACAGGTAAAAATCTTCCTTGTCATCCTTATTAGTATCAAATAGCTCCATAATGTTTTTTTTCTCTCTTTCTTCCTCAGCTCCCTTTTTTAGACACTGGATACTTCTTTTATCACAATGGCATTGCCAAGGCCAGGAGAAGACGCAGTCTTCAACACAAGCTTCATCTGGAAAAGGACTCCAGGGTAAGTGTTTCATCATCCCATGCACCTGTTGTGTTTTCTTTGTGACACAGACTACTTTTTAAGAGATCAGGTTGACAATCAAATCTGGTTATAACTATGTTTGTTTTTATTTCCCCCCTCATGCTCATTTCAAGCTTGGTAACTGCCCCATGGACACACCTCTCCAACAGCTGCTATTTCACTACTACAAATGTTCTTACATTCTCTGAGATCTGTCCTTTCTCCAGTAAGACTCAGTGATGCCATAGTCTGCAGGACACATCAGTGCACTCTGTCTTTGTACTGTGGGGCCATCCACAGTACACCCTGCACTCCTCTCCCCCCGTGCATCCTGCTAGTCTGTGGGTTATCCAGCCAGGAACACCCTGTGGTGTGAATGGTGGCATTTTGTCTGGAGTCACATTGACACTTATTTTCAGGGAATGATGTACACCCGAGATGCTAAGATTATATGCTGTCAAACTTCAGTACTACTTTTAGAGGCTTTTGCTCAGTCTGCAAATGATGTGCTCAGTTTTCAGCATAAACCTCTCAAACAGGAGGGGAAGGTACATTTTACAGAAGACTATGAACTAACACTAGGAAATGCTTATTTCTTCAGAGTTTTTACACAAGTATAATACTGGGCTGGAGTGAGGCCAAGTAGCACAAAAACTCAATTTACTGCCCAAAGAAAGTGGATAAACCTGAGGAATGATACCATGATAGCAAATGGATTATTTTTTAATCCTTCAGTAGGCTTTAAACTCTCTGCATTGTGAGCAAAAAAGAAGGGGGAACAATTTATTTCAGATAGAATTTTATTGTCAAGTACTATATGGTATTGGAACACCTATGAAAATGAAAAATTGAGCAGGAAGGAAAGAAAAATAGGTTAATTAAGATCCTAATTGTTGCTGTGACACGAAGGCAAGCAAAGTCTGACGTATTCCCAGCCCAATTTTCCTACTTCTGCAGAAATTTCAAGTGTTTCTGGGCTGAGGTCCAACTGGGATGCACACAGCTGGTCACTCCTGTGGCTGGGTGCCATGTGAGTGAACCACACAGGTTGCTGCCTGCCCATGTCACTTCATCCTGTGATGCTGAGGGCTGACAGGTTGCTGGGGCTGCTGCTGGGCTTCCAGTGCTCTGAGGTACTTCTTCCTGGATCCCTTCTCTGAAACTGGTGCCAGGTGCAGCTGAGGGGCTATAAGGAAGAGACCCATTCAACCTGCCTTGAATAGAAACTCTCAGGCTTCCCTTGTTTTGTTTACCAAGCAGGAATCAGAAAGTAAACTGTTCAGAAGCTGTCTACAATTGGTGAATGCTATTTGTAGGAATCCACCAGTTCTCATTGCAGTCTCAGTGTTGCATGGCTGAGCACTCCTGTACTAATTCTGGAGTGGCTTTTGCACTACCTCTAGACTAAGTGTCTGCAGTGCTATTAAAAACAGCTTAAATTAATCTACCTCCTCGTTCAGAGGTGTTCTCTTTGCAGTCATCTGGTATTTGTGCTCTAGACTCTTAGTTGGCTTCTGTCATGTGCAATGAAATCTCATTTTTGCTGTTAATCTCCACTTCTTCCTGGTGCTGCATACCAATGGCTCAGCTCTCCTTGTCTCCTTACTTTGATCTCTAGGAGTAAAGCACTCTGTTTAAATAACCAGGGATATCTCCCATGTGAGGAGAAGGATGATCCCAGGTGTATCCTGACCTCATGGGTTACCCTGAGGGATGGAAGCAACATTTTATTTCCACATGTAACAGCATTTTCTCACCTAAGCCTCCTACTTGCTCTTTAGTGTTGGATAGTCCTTGAGCCCTTATGGTACCATATAGGTCAGTTGCTTTTTGTAACACAGTTTGAGAGAAATAAAAAAGAATAACTCTTATTTCCTTTCTTATATAAGTGGAGTTTAGAGAAGTCATTAAAATTCCTGTCATGTTTGCTTATAAGTGGAAACATGAGTTGTGTTGACAGTACTTAATTTCAGACTCCAAAAATAATTTCCAAATTTAATGGCAGCCTTCTAGACTATTTACATTCAATTTTACTTAGCAACAAATGTCAGCACTGTCATGGTTAATACGTTAAAACCAAGAATAAAATGTTCCTGTTGCCAGGCTAGTCAGGAAGCAAACTTCCACCACATGGCCTTACAAATCTCTCAGGAACCATTATGGTAAATGTTGTAGTTGCTTAGCCCTACTCAAATGTTGTCAGAAAGTGGGCTGCAGTTATTCTGTATGCTTTTCACTTTTAAGGAGATTACAATTCCTAGCTAATTTTAATTATTAGTTGAAAAACAGCACAGATGTTCACTCAATTAATTAATGTTCTTTAATCAAGTAAGTCCCTTGAGGAACTGTGACAGAATTTCAAGGTTTGAGGGGAAGAGATGGCAGAGCACTATGCAAACAGGTTACTGCATCGTTTTCATGCTCTGCGTGTCTTTTAAAATGCTCAAAAAACCTTTGTGTAAAATGTACTGGATGTTTTTACCAAAATAATTTGGAGGTATGCTAAACATATGCAGTCATGGTGAGATAAACATCATTGCTATTAAGGGAGTGGAAATGGAATATTATTAAGATGCATTCCTAGAGATCCTGCAAGAACTGAATCTTTGTTCTGAGGAAGCCTCAAGTATGATTGTTTTGACAATATTTAATGCCTTAGTGTTGCTGAAGCCTGAAGCAGTACTGGGAGCAGGTGAAGGCATATGTAATAGTGTCATAAAAATGTGTTGTGCCAGTGAACTGTTCAAGAAAAAAGTGCAGGCACATGAAGCACTGTGGCTTTTGCTGTCAGTACCAACCTCTCAGGGATCCACACCGTCAGGATGACAAACACCACAGTGAATTGAACTGCTTCAAATGGAGACTGATTAGTTATTTAAATTACATTCTCTGAGGTACAGAGAAATTCCCAGGAGTAGTTTGCTCAGAAACAACTATTTTATGTCAGATGCAAATTTCCATTATTTCCAGGTGCACTTGTATTTTGTTATTTTACTGTATGTGCCTCTGGGACCAAACAGATTTATTTTTTTTTTGGGGGGGGAAGAGTCCCTTAAACATATTTACATGTTGAACCTGGAATTTCAAGTGGATAAGACGTAGCAGCAAGATATCCAGCATTCTCCACACAAAATTGCATTTTCATCTGCCTTTATCTGCTAATTGATTAAGCTGAAATTTCTCAGACCAGAAAGTCAGCCATTAGGCCTGGTTTGCCTTGGGAAACTTCACTGAAGTAGGTGCTGTACTTGGCCCTGGAGCTGCAAGCAGGGAGGCAGTCCTTGCCCTGACCCCTGGGCACGGGAAGCAGGAGGGTGGGAGCAGTGGTCAAGGACCCCCAGCAACATAAAGCCAATGAGGAGTCTAAGTAGGATGGGACTGATCTCGGCATGAAGCTGAGGAGGGAGTGAGTGGAACAGGCTGGAACAAGAGCCCAGAGTGATGAAAAAACATTGAGTGATTAATGTGTGGAGCCAGCCCCTGAGCTGAGGAGCACATCAAGAAGCACACGGATAGACTGGAGAGACAAAACAGGGTGTCCATGTTCATATCAAAGCATGCTGCCTCCCGAGTGCAGGTCATAATGCAACCTTAGAGCCAGGTGGCCTTTCCCAGGGGGAAACATCCCTGCAAGCAGAGGGGAATATACTTTCTGTAAAAGCAGACTTTGTTTTTAATTATGAGGAACAGTGGTACGTTTCATCAGCCTGATTGCTCTGGAAAAGCAAATCAGAAATTCAGAGATACTTCATGCTGCCATGTTAGGTTTCCTGTCTCTGAAAGTGCAGTAGAGGCAGAATGGGAGGCAGAGACGTTTCCTGCTCCAGTTTCGGATTTGCTTAATTTTCACTTTCAAAACTGACTCAGGTTCTGGCCTCCTATGGAGAGACTTGGTTGTATTATTAATAAATGTTTTGAAAAGTGGCCATGTAAGTGATAGGAAAGAAAAAATGCACTGTTGTTATCTTGCCTTTCAGAACAATACTTGTGTGTTTTGGCTGTTCTTGGGTATTTTCTGTTAGTAAATAGTCTTCCACTGAAGGAGCAAGAGTTGAAACACAGTTTGTTCTCTCAAAGATTATTTTGCTTTCTTTCAAGTTTCAGATAAAACCATTTTCCTCCCACACAGTCTCTCCTGTCAGACAGCTGCCAAGATTAATCCCACTCAAGAGAGAGGCTTTAATATACAGAGAAGAGCTGAGTCCTATTACTGGTACCTATATGTGAGCGCATCAGTGTTGGTGTTGGGGGATGAAATATATATGTGTGGAGAGGGAAGGTGAAATGAAAATCTTCCACTGAGCGAGTTTGGTACTGGGATGATGACTTCTTTGGAAATAGGCATCGCAGTGATGGCAATTGTTATGTTGCAAAAGGGATTAGAAAGGGAAGCTTGTCTGCTACCTGTGCTGGTACAGGAGTCTGGGGAGGGCAGATGTATAGGTTCTTCAAGGCATAGTCTCTAGGTGCCCAGGGTTAAGAGTATTTACAAACTGCTTGTGTCATGGGACAAGGGAAAAAAGGGGATGCTAAATGCAAGGAATCTGAGCTTTTAATTAATAAATCAGAATCTTCATATCCTTGCTTGCCTCGGATCCCTCCTGTGCCCCCTTAACGTGTCTGGCTTGTGGTCAGATCATTGCAACCTTTGTAGGCAGAAGTGCCCTGTGACACCAGGCGGGGGGGTTGCCAAGTGCCACCAGAGATGGATGTTTCATCCATAGTTGCCTTCAACAGGGAGGAAGAGGACTGGCAGCTTGGGAAGAGCACAGCCATGTAATAAGCAGCAGCAGCCTTTAGCAACAGCAGTGTAATCTAAGTCAACTTTCAGTGCCCTTTCGGACAGCATTAATGATAGGCTTGAGAGGTGTTAAAGGTGGAGCCTTTTGCCTCACTCTCTGAGATGCCAATACAAATCTTCCCCTTTGCATAAATGGAAATCTTCCTGATAAGATCAGGAGAACTCAGTTTTTCTCAGTGCTGCCCAGTTCTCCAGCAAG